CCTGAAAACTCTCCACAGAAAGTAAGAGTTGATCACTTTTCTTTCCAAAGGGAGTAGGCCAGCCCAGAATGCTGATGCCCAGAACAGAGGGCCAAGCCGAGCCCCAAAGAGGCGAGTCCAGACCCGAACAGCTGAAGCCAGTCCCAAAAGGGGGAACCTCTCTCTCAAGCCCAGCCTCGCCCCTAAGCAGCCCCCTCCTCCAGCGGCCGGGGGCCAGCCTCACCTTGTCCCGGTGACTTCCACAGGCACCGCCCCCTGGACAGTCAGCAGCCCTTTCCTCCTCGGGCTCCGAGGCCGTGCTCACTGAGGGTCCTCTCCTCTGAGGCAGTCTGTGGGGACCGGGCTTCCCCCAGCCAAGGCCTAAGAGCCCAATCTAGTGCCAAAGAACTGATGCCAGTCCCAAACCAGAGCCTAACCCCCAAGACCCCAAACCAGTCCTGAACAGCCAAAGCCAGTTCCGAAGGGCAGAGCTGAAGTCATGCTGGAACAAGACCTTAGGTTTTATTTCAGTGAGGTTTACCCTTTACAGGTAAAGTGTTCATGAGACGATAATTACGGGATGGTAGTGTGTGTGTGTGTTTTCCTCCCCTGCTGTGGACATTGTTGTAAGTAAATTTTCTCTTTACTTACAACAAAAATATCCTTACGGGAGAGGTATCAAGTGAATAATTAGGAGACCCCTGAAGAAGGGGTACCCCATCTTTTCAGGTACCAGAGGGTGGAACAGGATAAAGGTGAGAGATGAGAGCTGTCCTGCTCTGTGTCTACTGAATGGAGGGGACTTTCCTGGGAATAACCGTGATGTCGTTGAATATTGAACTCGCTGAAATCTGAATCCCCTTGTTTTCCCAGTGGGTTTGGGTCAAGGTCCCTGTTCTGTTTCTTAAGTGGAAGCTTAATAATCCTGATAGATCAACAAGGACCATAATTAACATTTATTGAGCGCCAAGCACTTTGCTAAACACTTGCTACATCCTCTCTTTTAACCCTTACAGCAACCCAATGAAATAGGCTGTGCTATGATTACTGTCCCCACTTTACAGATGGGAACATGGAGGCTAAGAAAGGTGAAAAATATGCCCTACATACCTGGCTAGTGCATGGTGGGGCTGGGGTTTGAGCGCAGGTCTCTCAGGCTCAGAGTGTCAAACCACTCTGCTATACCTCTGCTTGATTCAAGAACTCTGTTCACCAAGCCGACTCCTGGCATCAAATCTGGCCCTGGCATCAATACATGGCTTCAGGAAACACAGCTGCTCAGAGGAGGCAACAGCTGTTCATTCATTTACCACTTCACCAAGCCACATGAATTAAATCACCATAAGGTAAGGCTCACTCAATCTCAAACACTAGGACAGGTAATTATTGTTTTAATTAAAGAAAATAAATTCCGCCCTTCCCCCCACCCCCATTCCCGCTTCCTGGTCAAAACACTTGAGTACTGATTTCTGTAGGAGGTAAGGGAATAAGTTGAGACATTTTTTTAAAATATGTTTTATTGATTTTTTATTTATTTATTTATTTATTTATTTTTTACAGAGAGGAAGGGAGAGGGATAGAGAGCTAGAAACATAGGTGAGAGAGAAACATTGACCAGCTGCTTCTTGCACACCCCCTACCGGGGATGTGCCTGCAACCAAGGTACATGCTCTTGATGGTAATCGAACCTGGGACCCTTCAGTCTGCAGGTCGACGCTCTATTCACTGAGCCAAACCAGCTAAGGCTCTCCCTCTTCTTATAAGGACACTAGTCATGTAGTATAGGGCCCCACTCTAATGACCTCATTTGACTTAATTAGCTCTTTAAAGACCTTGTCTCCATTCATAGGTGCTGGGCTTAGGAATTCCACAGAGGAATGGGGGAGGGGGACACAGTCTAACCCATAACAGCCTCCCTCCCTCCCTCTTCCCAAGTCCCCAATGGTGACATAATCCTAAAGAGCAATAGATTATGTAAATGCTCTGCCTCAGTTTACTCATCCATAATGTAGGACTAATAATAGTACCTGTCCTAGTACTCAGGGTTGTTAGAAGGGTTAAGTGCGTTCATGTGTCTAAGGTGCTTAGAACAGTGCCTGGCACAGCGTAAGCTCTAGGTAAGTGTTTATTAAATGAAGCATTGGAATATAAAACACATTTTTTTTTTTATAAAACACATTTTTTTCTAACGTGTTAGGAGACCATTATGTTGTTATTTCCTTCCAACCCCTCCCTGTAAGAATTTGCTTTTTCTGGACAATATACAGCATCAGGGACAGGATCACTAATCACAATAGGGGAGCTGTATATATTTGAGGGTGCAGGGGCCCTCCAACATTCTTTGAAACACACTGTTTAGTGACTAGTGATCTACTTAATATTAACAGCAGCCAAAATTGATTAAGTGCTAATGAGGTGCCGGACACTGTGCTCAGGGCTTTACCAGTATGATCTTACTTACCTCTGAAGGAGGTATATTATTATTATTATTATTTATTTTATTTTTTGAAGTAGGTATATTATTATTCCCATGCTACAACTGAGGAAACGGAGACTCCAAAAGGCTTCATCTCATGGCCAAGGTCCCCAGGTACAGGAATAGTGAGATAGGCCGAAATGATTCCTCTGTGAGCCAATTAGGGACTGTCAGAAGCAGAGTATGGCCCTAGACGGTTTGGCTCAGTGGATAGAGCATTGGCCTGCAGACTGAAAGGTTCCAGGTTCGATTCCAGTCAAGGGCATGTACCTTGGTTGCAGGCACATCCCCAGTAGGGAGTGTGCAGGAGGCAGCTGATGAATGTTTCTCTCTCATCGATGTTTCTAGCTCTCTATCCCTCTCCCTTCCTCTCTGTAAAAAATCGATAAAATATATTAATAAAAAGAAGAAGCAGCAGAGTGTGTGTGTATGATGGGGGCCTCCTCTTCCCCTTCCTTTTCCATCACCCTCCCCACCCCACCTCTCCCTCTGCTCAATACCGCGTCCCCACGGCCAAGGCTGCACTCTCTTTGCTACAGAAAACATCCAAGCGGCTGGGACCCGACCCAGCGCCACCTTGTGAGCCCAGCATTGCGAGGGGCAGGCTTCCAAACAGGGTAATAATCGTCCCATTAAAATTAATGTCCATGAAGTGAGCCGTTAAAAGCGTGCAGATTAAAAAGGGGGGGAGGAGGGAATTGTTCGGTTTAAATCCAGAGGGCTTTTTAAATAGACACTGTGTCTTCATTCTTGGAACACGCTGCACCGGGCAATGGATCAGGTCCCCTCTGCAAAGATGTGGGGGGATTAAGGAGGTGAGTCCCAGGAGAAGGGGGATGTGGTTCTGGCCAGAAGCAAAGGGAACCGAGGTTTATCCAGGGCCCGCTGCATGCCAGGTGCTTGGCACACATTTCTGTCTCTTTAAGCTCTGCCCCGTCCTGGGTCAGAGGTATTATTATTCCCAGATTGCAGGGGGCAGTATAAAACCGTGGTTACCAGCTTAGAGCCCCCAGAAGACCGCCCTAATTCAGACCTAGATTCATTCTTCCCTAACTGTGAGCTGGGCAAGAGGACTTACCTCCCTGTGCCTCAGTTTCCCCATCTGTAAAGTAGGATCTTAATAGTACCCTAACCCCTAATTGTTGGGAGTTTTACTTGAGGCCTTGAGGCAGGGACCTTAGCCCAGTGACCTCCCTAGAAGGCACTCGGTTAGTGCTGACCATGATTAAGGGAAGGAATGGGGCTGGGGGACATAAGGGCCACCAAGAAGATCCCAGAGCAGAGCTGGGACATGAGCCCTGACCCAGCTGCAGGCCGGAGGGAAATCTCTCCTCACAACAAATCCACACAAGACTAAGGTCACCGTCTTGAGTAATCTTTTCCCAGTGACCCCAGATGCCTCAGGCCTGGGCAGCACTGCCCGAGGAAAGCAGAGAGAGCATCAAGGCTCCCCGTGGGCTCCCGGGCAGACAGACCCCAGCGTGCTCCTCCAGGTTTCTGAATCCCAATGAGTTTAACATCAGAGAGGGTCTTCCCCTGTCCCCCCAGCCCCCCCCCCCAATAATCCTAGAGACCCCCACGTTCATCTCCCTAGCAGGACAATGCCACACTTTCTGGTCCGGAGAGGGGCTGGAGTCCCTATGGACACCCTCGCCCTGGCCCCCGCCGACCCCTTAGGGTCTGCACTGCCATGGATTGGGGTCGCCACTAGACCCTGTAGCCCAGCAGCAGAACAGTATCCACCAAGGATGCTGACAAAACAAGAAACTTCCAGAGGCTCCGGATGAGGGCACTGGGGGCGCGAGCAAGGGGCGCCCAGAACGCCCGTCTCCGCGCCCCGCGGGGGACCAAGGACCAGCCCGTGCACCCCCATCCCGCCGCCTCCGCGGGTTCCCAGCTGCACGGGGGGGGGGGGGGGGGGGGAGAAGGGGTGCGTTCGGCCCGTTCGGCCACAGAGTGTGGAAAGGGGTGGGGGCCGCATCGGTGTGCCCAAACCCCGAGCCTACAGGTGCCGAGCCAGACCTGGACGTAGGCAAGTTGGGTTGCATCTTGCTCTCTTCTCAGCTTCCGAACCAACCTACCTCCCTCAGACACAACAATGGCCCCGGTATATGTTTTTTAATAATAGAGCCGAATCCCATTCTGCTTCATCCTGCTTCCCCTGGCCACATCGGAACCGGAGCTGGATTTTGGGGTGGGAGGTGGGGGAGAGGAATGAAGGACAAAACCTTTCCTGGAGCTCCACGCCTCCGCGGGGGTCCCCCCACAACACCCCCCTAAAACCTGGGACCCCCGCGGCGGGGCGCCCGGTGGCCTCCTAGCGCGCCCCATCCGCCGCTCCAAACCGCACCCCCCCCTCGGCGGGCGCCGGCGCCGCTAGGGTTAAAAGTTACCTCTCGGTTCCTTCTGCCGGCAGCCCCCCCCCCCTCCCGGGGCCGGATGATGTAACCCCCCTCTCGGCCCTCCCCGCCCCCTCCACCATGTGACACTTTAATTAATAATAGCGCCGTCAGCACAACAAACGCGCACAACACACAGGGAGAAACTTGGTGTCCAGGGGAGGCCCGGGCGGCGGGAGCGCGGCGGCTGCAGCGCGGAGGAGGCCGGAGGGAGCGGAGGGAGAGCGGGGAGGGCGGCCCGAGCCCGGAGGGAGCGCGCGCGGCGGGCGGCCATGTGCCCGTGCCCCCTGCACCGCGGCCGCGGGCCCCCGGCCGTGTGCGCCTGCCCCGCGGGCCGCCTGGCGCTGCGCTCGGCCGCCGCGCAGCTCACGGCCGCCCGGCTGCAGGCGCTGGGCGACGAGCTGCACCGGCGCACCATGTGGCGGCGCCGCGCGCGGAGCCGGGGGCCGCGGGCGCCCGGCGCGCCCCCCGCCTTCTGGCCCTGGCTGTGCGCGGCCGCGCAGGTGGCGGCGCTGGCGGCCTGGCTGCTCGGCAGGCGGAGCCTGTAGGAACGCGGGGCTTCTTGGTGGGGCCGGAGCCGAGACCCAGCCGGAGCGGAGCAACAGGTACGCGAGCCCAGCCCGCCCGCCCGCGAGCGAGCGAGCGCCGGGGCGCGGCCGCCGGGGGGGCTGGAGGCGCGGGGCTGGCCTGGGAGCGGGAGGACCATCCCCAAGTTGAGCTTTCTTCCCTTCCCCTCTCCTTCTCCCCCTGCTGCCTTCTCTGCTGGAGGACCCCAAGTTTAGCTGTCTTCCCTTTCCATCTCCTCCTCCCTCTGCTTCCTCCTCTCGCAGGGACCTACGGGTCCCTCCTACCCAGTCCCCATCTCTCCTCCCACGCGCCAGGCCCGCCGTTTCTGTCCCCTTCCTTCTCTCTCGGACTCCTTTTACGCATCTGGCCACTGACCACCTCCAGTGGGAGGATTGGGGCCTCCGCATCCCCCGCCAGCCGCCCAAATACACACACCATCCGCGTAAAAAAAAAGTGTGCTTGCCGTGACAACGCCGTTCCCAGCCCCGCCAGATAATCAGAATCTAGCGCTGTTTCAAGACAAGTTCCCCGTCCTCTCCCAGGCCGCCGGGCGGTCCTGAGTCTCCGTCCACAGCCCCCATCCCCTCCGCGCCAAACCCGGTCCTTCCCAGTGTCCCTTCTCCGGCCTCTGGGCCCCGTCCTCCATCCTCCCGCGCTCGGAGCGCGTCTGTCTCCATCCTCCCTCCCTCCCCGGCCACTCGCTGCCGCTCTGTCCCCGCGGGTGGCCCCCGCGCTCCGCGGTTTCCCTTCGCTCCCGCATCTTCTCCGCTCCTTCCCCAGCTGGGTGTCCCGTCTAAGGACCATGGCCCACTCTTCCTCCATCAGACGGCTGGAGCTGAGATGTCCCCCGAAGTTGGATCGGAGGCTCTGAGGGAAGCCCCCTGGGGGAAGGAACCTTAACGAAAGCGCATTGAGTGAGCGCCTCTGGGGGTGCCGTGCCCAGATCAGGAGGGGGATGTTGGAGACCTTGCCCAGTGCTCGGCTCTGCGCAGTGGTGGAGGGCGGGGAGTGAGAATTGAGCACCTAGTGTGCTTGGTGCTGGTGGTATAGGGGTACTGACCACCTACTGTGCGCTAGGCCCGCGGGGTTGGGAAGTTACTGGGGACCAGCTGTGCGCCTGGCACTGACTTAGGCGCTTTGGGGCGGGGGGGGGGGGGCAAGGGTGTAGATTCTGGAGTAGAGGGGGGAGCTGCAGAGAATGGGGCGGGGTAATCAGGCCGAGCCCACCAGAGGGGAGCCTAGAGCCAGAAGGTGAAGGTTGAAGGTGAGAAAGCCAGCGGCTCCGGGATGCCGCGCCCCGCGCCCCGCGCCCCGCGCCCCGCGCCCCGCCGCGCGCTGGCACTCCGGGAGCTGGCGCGGCGCCCGCGGCGAGGCTGAGCGTCTGCGCCCTCGGGGGGAGGCGGGGAGAGGCGGCAGCCGGAGCGTGGGGGGCGGCAGCGCCCTGGGAGCTGCGGGGGCGCGCGGGGTGTGAGCCGGGAGCGCGGGCGACAGATGCCCGGTGGGCCGCGAGGCCCGGGCGGGCGCTGGGGAACAGGGGTGCGCACTTCGGGGCGCGCCCTGCCCGGCTCCCCGAGGTCCCGTCCGCTGTTTCTCCTCCGGGGAGAGGGGCTCCCTCAGCCCGCAGCAGCCAGGCCGGGGCTGCCCACTCCCGGGGGATGGGGGGAGGGAGAAACAACATTTTGGGACTGGGCGCAGGGAGCAAGTAAATACATAAATAAGTAATGGAGTGGAGAGAGGAGAGAGAGAGACCCGGAGCTGCGAAGCCCAGAGCATGGAGTTTGGGAAAAGGTGGGGAGGAGGGTGGAGAAGGGAAGAAAACTGGAGGCGAGACGGCGAGGGAAAGGCAGGTTGGGGAGCTGGGGAGCTGGTGGGAAAGTGGGTCAGCGGAAACATGGGAGGGACCGCTGTCCAGGAGGGAGGCGAGGAGGGCTAGGACAAGGCTTCCCCTTGGGGTCCGGGTGAGGTTCTGGAAGGCGCTTCCTTCCCAGGACGAGGCGGTGCGGGTGCTGGGAGCCACCCAAGGGCCGGTGAACCCCGGAGCTGGGCCTCTGGCTGTGAGCCTGGGGCCGGGGTGCCCCCAGGACTCCAAAGAGGAGGCTGCCTGCGGGGGCTGTGGCCTCCTAGGGCTGCAGGCGAGGGGCGGAGAGGGGTTTCGCTGGTGCAGCGGGCTAGAGTTTATTTCCCCGCCTCGCCCCGCTTCTGCCCCAGAGTTCCCTGCTTCGTCCTGACTTCAGGCCACCCTCTGCCTGTCCCCAGCTTCCGAAGCCTCCAGGGGTCTCACGCCTGGGGTGCCCTGGCCCCAAGACGCCCCTTTCCCCCAGCTCCACCCTGGCCTTGGTACCTGACCAAGGGACTGGAGCTCTCTGCAGCGCAGACTTTTTTTGTGCTTTTGGCTGGGGGAACCCACCCTTCCCCAGCCTCGGGTCAGTTAGGAGAAGTGGAAGGAAATCCATAGGAGAAAGACCGTTCGTTGGCTGAGTTCTGGTTGTGGTCCTCTCCACTTTTCCTACCCTCTGGAGAAGTGGGGGCCCTCCTAGGATAGTGTCCGGGGTTCAGGGAACCTGAGCCAACCATATGAGGCAGACACGCCTTCTCTCAGGCATTAAGGGTGGGCTTAGCTGTGTTCCGGACAACCGTTTCAACAGTCTTGTTTTGGGTCTGTACTGTGACCCGGCAATACTTTCCTCAGAAGTCATTATAAAAATGAATCCTGGGGGGAAAAAACAACAACCCGGAGACTCAGTTTTCGCATATGTAAGATGGGGACAATTATAGTACTTTAATGCATAGATGTTGTCAAGAGGGTAAAATGAATTCAGACATAGAAAGGTCTAGAACAGTGCCTGGGGCATAGGAAGGGGATATAAATGTGAGCTAGCATGATTATGATTGTGTATTCAATATTTTTTCCCAAAGTACACAACATTTTGCCGTAGTCATTGCTGCCAATTCCACCCCATTCCTGCTTGCCCCTTTGAAGAATTAGGGCCGGGTGGGGCCAGGGTAGGACAGAGAATTAAGAGCATGGACTTAGAGATCAGAAGGAATGGGATGTAAGTCCCAGCCCAGGAACTTGCCGGCAGTGTGACCTTGGGTAAGAATCCTAACCTCTCTGAGCCTTTTAAATGGGAGTTGTTCTCTGGGGTTGTTGGGGGGATGGTAAGAGAGCACCCGCTTCTAGAGCCCAGTGCAGTGCCTGGAGCTTCCATCACTGGACAGAGGGCGCTCTGAAGTGGTTCATGCCATCCTGATAGTTTCAAAGGGGAAACCGAGGCACAGAGAGTCCGCCTGAGTCATTCCAAAGGATCAGAGGCAAAGCCAGAAGTGGAACTGGAGTTTCTATCTTTGAGGGCTCCCCTTCTACCCCCCCTACCTCCAAGATGATGTGTGGGTTGCGGGGGATGAGGAGACACTGGAGAGCAAGCGGAGGGGGTAGTGAGCCTTGAACTCCTGCAGTAGAGAGAGACCCCTTTCCGAGGGAGCCTGGGGGCAGGGGGAGGCTCCTGGGAGGCCTGGGAGGCCAGGAGGAGGAGGGCTGTGACTTAACCAGTCGTGGCTCTAAGATACAGGAAGGGGAACAAAAGGTGCTTTATGGTGAGTGCGAGCTGGGAGCTGTGGGAGGGGAAGAAGCGTGCCCTGGGAGGGGGCAGGGGCGGAGAGAGTGAAGCCCAGGGCTCTGCCTAGGAGAGGGGCCAGTGGAATCTTGCCTTGGGACTGAGGAGAAGGGGAGAAAGGTGGATTTTGCAGGCCCAGGAAGCCACAGGATCAGGGGCAAGGATGATAAGGGGCCAGCAGGAGCCGGCTTTTATGAACCAATGAGGGCCTAGCCCACCAGCCAGATTTGCTAACTGGTTCTTGGCAGGTGCTTTGGTCATTAAGTGGTTAACCCCGGAGGCACATCCCTCAGGCCTCCCTCCTAGCAGGCTGCACCTCTGCCAGCATTACTTTGAGAGCTTGAAAGCTTAGGAGTGGAGGGAGAGGGCAGAGCGAGAAGACAGCTGTTGGGGAGGAACCCCTGGACCGGGCCAGATGTACAGCCTTCCCGCCCACATGCTCTCTTGTCTGGAATCGCCCGCTTGCCTGGTGAGAGGCCAGGGCACAAGCGACTGAGCTGTGCCTGTGAGAACAGCCAGGCCCTGGATCATTAAATACACACTCCCACCCCCATGTGGGCTGGGGGCACCTGGTGACCACACCTTTGGTTTTTGAAAAGTCATCTACATTGGGGGTAGGGAGGAGTGAGTAGAGGCTTCTATTTCCCCTCTGGTCATCACCTTACCCGATGATAGGATTGCCCCACAGGGTCCCCTAGCCCCCAACGACCTGCTTGTCACATAGTAGGTACGCAATATGTAACGGATCCATGAGTCCGTGAGAAACTATGCCAGACAGGTATCATTGTTTCCCAAATTCAGCTCCTCTCACTTATTCACCTCGTGGTTATTGAGTGCCTACTGTGTGCAGGGCGCTGTGGACACAGGAAGGGCCAGGGCACAGAAGCCCCTGCAGCACTCCGGAAGCTTACATTTTAGTGGGAATAAACAAGTGAGTCCATAAAGATTTCTTTGGTTACTATTGCCGTGCAACCCCTTGCTCCAAAACTACAACTACTGCTTGATTATGCTCATAACATATGATTATGCCCATACATTCTTTGGGGTAGGAAATGATAAAGGCATAGCAGGGGTGACTTCTCTCTGCTCCAGGCTGGCTGGGGGCTGGAGCCCTGGGCTGGGGAGGGATTGTCATTTACAGATATGGCTGTTGCCGCTGGCTGCTAGCTTGGGACTGCCAGCCACGGCACCTGCAAGCATCCTCCTCTTGTGGCCTGGGCTTCCTCACGGTATGGCAGCCTCGTAGTTAGTAGTTGTTGGATTCGACATGGTGATTCTGAGCTCCAGCAGCAAACGTCTTGGGGAGCAAATGGAAGCTGCATGGCTCTTTCAGACCCAGCCTCAGAGGTCACAAGCCTGCCCATCAGGGAGCGGCAGAGTTCTGGAAGTGTGTGAGCAGGAGATGCTGCTGAGGCCATCTTTGG